TCAGGCATTTGACTGCTAACCAGAAGGCTGGCTGTTCAAACCCACAGCCACTCCTCAGAGGGAAGATTGGGCAATCTATTTCCATAGAGATATGGCCTTGGAAACTTAAGGAGGGGTCGCTATGAGTCAAAATCAACTTGATGACAGTGAGTTTGGTCATAATGTATTATTTGTTTGATATGTTGTTGGAGTCTGTTGGGTAGGATTTTGTTGAAAATTTTTGCATCCGTAATCATGAAGAATATTGGTCTGTGGTTTCCCTTTTGCGTGATGTCTTTGCCAGGTTTTGAGATTAAGGTTATGCTTGCTTCATAAAATGAATTTAGAAGGATTCCATCCTTTTTTGTGTTCTGGAATAGTTTGAGTAGGATTGGTGCCAGTTCTCCTCTGAACATTTGGTAGAATTCTCTGGTGAAACTGTCTTGGGCCAGGACTCTTCTTTGTTGGTAATTTTTTTGTGACTTGTTTAATTTCTTCTTTTTTTTGTGGGTCTGTTCAACTTTTCTACCTCAGTCTGTGTAGGGTTAGATAAGTAATGTGTTTCTATAAGTCTGTCAATTTCTTCTAGATTTGCAAATTTGTTGGAGTACAGTTCTTCATAGTATCTTGATATCCTTTTTATTTCAGTTGGTTCTGTCATGATGTTGCCCATTTTGTTTCTTATTTGTGTTATGTGTATTCTCTCTTTTCCTTTGTAAAATTTGCCAGTGGTTTGTCAATTTTATTAATCTTTCCAAAAAACTGATGTCTAGTCTTGTTTATGTTTTTCTGTTAACTTTGTATTTTCTATTTTATTTATTTCTGCTTGAATCTTTATTTCCTTTCTTCTGGTGAGTGTAGGCTTTTCTTGCTTTTTTTTCCCTAATTGTTGGAGATGTTGGTTTAAAGTGTTGATTTTGGCTCTTCCTTCTTTTTTTGATGTGTGCATTTATTTCTGTATATTGGCCTCTGATCAGTCTTTTTGCTGTGCCCCAAAGATTTTGGTATGTTATGTTTTCATTCTTGTTTGATTAAAGGAATTTTTTTAATTCCATTTTTTATTTTTACTGTTAGCCAATTGTTGGGGGTGTTGTTCAATTTCCATGTGTTTGCTCCTTTTCTGTTGATCTTTCTATTGTTGATTTCTGCTTTGATAGCACTGTGATCTGAGGAATGCTTTGCAGTATTGTTTTAAATTTATTAAGGCTTGCTTTATTGCCTGACATATGGTTTATCATGGAGAATGTTCCATGTGCACTGGAAAAGAATGTATATTTTGCTGTTGTTGGGTAAAGTGTTCTGTGTATGTTTCTAAGGTCAGATTGGTAGATTGTATTGTTTAGTTCTTCTGTGTCTTTGTTGAGTTAGTTTCCATATTTTCTGTCTGTGATTGAAAGCTGTGTGTTAAAGTCTCCTACTATGATTGTGGTGTCATCTATTTTTCTTTTCAGTTCTATTAAAGTCTGATTTATGTATTTGGGGGCTTTTTCATTGGGTCCATAGAAATTTATTATGGTTATATCTTCTTCCATTGATCCTTTAATCATTATATAATGATTGTCTCTTATGGTGGTTTTTGTCTTAAAGTCAATTTGATCAGAAGTTAATATTACCACTGCAACTCTCTTTTGTTTGCCATTTGCTTGATCTGTCTTTTTCCAACCTTTGATTTTTAGTCTATTTTTGTCTTTGTCTCTAAGGTGTGTCTCTTGTAGACAGCATATTGATGGGTTATGTGTTCTAATCCAGTCTGTATCTCTCCGTCTCTTGAGTGGTGCGTTTAATCCATTAACGTTCAGTGTATTTACCGACAAGTATAAATTTGTTGCTGTCATTTTGTTATGTGTTTTTCCATGGTGTTCCCGGTTTCTTTGTTTCTCACAATTTTCTGTGCTGGCCTCATTATGTTTATGAATCATGTTATTTCCTTCATTGCTATTGTTTTCGTACTTGCTAACTATTTGTTCTTTTCCTCTTTCTTACTGTGATTTGAAGGTTTATCCTTTTTCTTTCAGGTTACCCTGTGATTTATAAGTATCTCTCCAAGTTTAGAGCAGTCCATTTTATCTTGCAACTCTATTGACTTTCTCACCATTTAGAAGTTCTGTAATACAGTATTTTTTCCTTCTTTTTGGTTTTTAGTTGTCCTCATTTGCCAATTGATGTCTCTGGTTCCCCGTTTACAATCTTGTAAGCTTATTTTACTTTGGATACTTCCATAACTGGCTTGGTTTTTGGGTTATGTCATCACGTGTATTAATGGTCACTTATTGTTTGGTATTATTGGTTCTCTGTCCAAAGGACTCTCTTTGGTATCTCATGTGTGGTTGGTCTGGTTTTAACAAATTCCCTTAATTTCTGCTTATCTGAAAATCTCCTAATGTCACCATCATATTTAAGGGACTGTTTTGCTTGGTATATGTTTGTTGGTTGGAAATTTTTCTCTTTCGGGGTTTTATATATACCATCCTATGGCCTTCTCGCCTGGTTTCTGCTTATTAATCAGAGTTTAGTCTTATTGGTTGCCTTTTGTAGGTGACTTCTCATTTTTCCCATGCTGCTTTCAGGTTTCTTTCTTTGTCTTTAGTTTTGGTGAGTTTGATGATGATATGTGTTGGTAAGTTTGTTTTTGGGTCTATCCTGTTTGGGGTTCATTGGACTTCCTGAATGGATATATTCTCACGTTTAAATCAGGTAAGTTATCTTCCAACAAATCCTGGACAATTTTCTCAGTGGCTTATTTGTCTCTTCCTGGTCTGGAATTCCAGTTATACGTAGGGTAGTCCTTTTGATGTATCCCACATGAATCTTAGGTTTTCTTCGTTTTGTTTTTATCTTTTTTCTGATTGATCCCTTTCCAAAGAAGTATCGAGGCATTTGTCCTCAATCTCATTAATTCTGTCTTCCACTAATTCCATTTTATCCTTTGCCCTTTCAATGTGTTATCTAATGCTACAAATTTAGTATTAATCTTCTGGATGTCTTTCTGTAGCTTTTGAATCATTTCTAATTTGTCATTTATTTTTTCATTTTGCTCTTGTGTTTTCTTCTGAAATTCTTCTAGGGCTTCGTCTATGTTTTTCTTAATTTTGTCTGTGTTTTCCTTGATCTGTCTGTCAGTCCATTGAAGGTACCTAAATATAATTCTGATAGCGTAGTACCTAAGGCACTTGACTGTTAATCAGAAGGCTGGCAGTTGAAACCCAAAGAGGGGTCGCTGTGAGTCAGATCTGACTCGATGGCACATAACAATAACAACAACAACAAATATAATTCTTCTGAATTCCTTATCAGGGAATTTCAGTGTTGCTTCTTCCTCAGGGATATGTTCTGGGTCTGTATCCTGCTCCCTTGTTTCTGTTGCTGTATCTTGCTTCTTTATGTGGATTGTGATGATCTGTTGTCTCCAAGACATGGTGATTTTGTTGTATTTTATGTAATTGGTGATTGTATGCGGGAGTGATTCACCCAACATTTTCATTTTCTTTGTGGGTTTTTTTTTTTTTTTTGGATGTATGTGAGTCAGAAGGGTACTGTGCTCCTCTTATTCCCTAGTTGGCAGCACTTAGGCATTTACAACTTGTCTCCTGGTGGATGTGATAGAGAATGACAGTGGCTGCCCAGATCTCTGTGAACTGTTTGTGAAGAGCAGTTAAGTGTGAGTCAGGGCCTTATTGGTGGTGTGTATCATTGGCCAGTTGGTGCAGAAGGAAGTGGGCCCTCACTCAGCAAGTGGATCTGCAGGAGGTATAGGTGTGGTTGGGTTATATTGGCATGGTTGCTGTCTCCCACTCAGACACAAACAACAATCGAAAAACCATCAAAAAAGTATAGGTAAGAGGACAAAAAGCACACACTGCATAAACACACAGGAACAGTCATCAAAAGGAAGGGGGCAATAAATGAGAGAAAATGTTTAAAGAAATGCTTTTAAAAGCCAAAAGAAATGTGAATAGAAATGGGGGAAAAAACTCCCACAATATCTGGGGAGGGGAAAATAAGAGAAAAAAGGTAGAGTAGCAGAATAATGGAGAAAAAAAATGGGACAAATGCAAAAAACAAAACAAGGAATGGGGAGATCCACAAGAGAGAAAAAAAGGGGAGCCAGGAACAGGGAAGAGAGAAAAAGCCAAAAACTAGAACCTGGGAAGGGAAGAAGAAAGAATAATAACAAAAAAGATGGAAACAAAATAAGAAGAATTTTAATACAGACAAAAACAAACAAACTAAAAAAATATTATCTGGGTGGGGCAGAGTACCCTGGCTCTATCAGAGCACACACACTGTGATAAATTCCTGCCATACCAGAGGTGGATGACTAAGGGATGGCCACACCTCCTTTCACCAAGGGGGTGTGGAGTATAAGAGTTAGAAGGGGAATATTGCACCTTTTTGGTCCTCATTGTCCTATACGTCTTTGCTGTCCCTGGCAAGTGGGGCCTATTCTTAGGTCCCTGGAATCTGAGAGAATGCTATTGGTTTAAATATCCAAAATGGACGAACAGCTTGTAAACATTTAAAATGGCTGTGTGCTCCAGAGAGCCAAAAGTCCACAGCTGTTTGTCTCCTTCTTCACTGTTTTCCCTCTTATTCACCAGCCACAAGTGTAGTCCTCCATGTAGCCCCTGGCTAGCGTGCTGATTTTTAGGTTAATTCTTGGGTCCTAACACCACTTGAAAATATCCAAACTGTCCGTGCCGTCAGGATCACTGATAGTAAGCAGCTCCATATGTCTCCTTTTTCTCTGTTTTCATGCAGGTTCTTTTACTTGTTGGAATTTAGTCCACTTCCTTCTTTTCAAAGCTCAGGGCTCCAGCATTATCTTCTGTATCTGTGTTAACTGGTTTCTCTTTTCTTTGTTGTTGAGTGTTGAGTGTCTGCCTATTGCACCATCTTACTGGAACCCCTCTACTCTCTCTTAAAGGATCATTATGAGTCAGAATTCACTCAGTGGCAGTGGGTTTTTTTTTGTTTGCTTTTTTTGTTTAGGTGCTTATTTTCATTATTGTTTATTTTTTCAGAATCAGAAATTAATTTAAATTCATTGGCTCAAGAGCTTGAGACACCTAATAAGGTAATACTTTAAGCTTTATTTTGTCTTGATAAGGAACTTAAGTAATTTAATTATGACTAAGTACATTTATTTTGAAAATAATTAAAGAAGTAGTTTATAAATGTGATTAATTGAAAAGCTTATGTTGCTTCACCTTGTGCCTATTTTTAGTGGTGGCGACTGTTAAGTTGCTTGAATCCTTCCAGAAAAGTTTTATGCATGTATAGAGCACCCACTCAAACACCTTTTGAAACATATACACACAAATAAGCTTATAGTTCTAAGGCTTGCTTTCTTCTCTTGAAAAATATCTTGAAGATAATTCTACATCAACACATACAGATCTATCTCTTTTTTTCCCTAGTTGCATAGTGTTAATTAGATGTATTATTTAAGTATTTATTTTGTGAGAAATTACTGAGTGTCTTAAAATCTGGGATACGGCTATGGGAGTATGCATCATAGGAACAAAGGTTCATTTCCTGAGGATCCCTAGAACTTTGGTACCTTCAGAGCAGATAAGCATCCCAAATGGTTGTAGATCAGTTGGACATCTACAAGTGTGAAAATAAAATAACAATTATACATGGACGTGAAATGAATGTACAGCTTTGAACATATTATTGTACTTGTCTTTCTCTTGCACGGGCCTTGTTATTTTAACTTTATCTTCCCAAAGAACTGGATATTTTAAGATAGGATCATATATAAATAATTCAACATCTAAGTATCTAATATCCAGTATTTAAAGAATTCAAAAATACTTAGCAGAAGAGACTACTGTTAGTATTTACACAATTCCTAATATTTTCCTTTATTTTTTCTAGCTATAAAATAGTCGAGGCTAGCTGTAAAAATTCAGTTAATATTAAAATATGTAAAATAGAAAGTACAAGTCCCCAGAGTCTCCTCCTTAATTTGAAAAAATATATAGTTCTTCTAGACTGGTACTTTATATGTGTTTGTATTTATAAACATTACCTACCAGGCATTCTTTAAAGTGCTTTACATATATTACTCATTTAAATCTCAAAACAACTTTACAGTGTAAATACTATTAATATTTTTTATTTTTATAGAGATATTAAGTAACTCACCCAGGGTTATTGTTGTTGTTGTTAAGTGCCGTCGAGTCGTTTCCAACTCATAGCGACCCCATGCACAGCAGAACGAAACACTGCCCGATCCCGCGCCAGCCCCACAAT